CTACAGCCAAAGCTGTCTCCAGAAGACCAATTAAACCCTTCCCACATTTAGTTTCCCAAACTTAGCAAGATTCTGGATCTCTATCCCCATGGTAAGCCAAGTCTTGTTTCAGGGTCTTCTCTCTTGTAAAAATATCACCTCTTTGTAAGGCCATATACTTCAAAACACATTAAGAGTTAGGCAAAGGTTCTACAAATTACTTTAACGGAAATTTGCAGGAAAAGGCTTTGATAACAGCTTCTGACCACTCCTCCGTTGTATCCCCACCATCGTGCCCATTACAAAACCAACCTACTGATGTCTGCCTTGAAACAACTGTCTGATGACAGAGGAACACCTGATTTTGATCCATCACAAACATGCTTCTACCACATCAGGATGGAAGAAACCTCTGGAAAAGAGAGTCCCAGAATCAATGACCCATTTCACTGTGCTCACTATCCAAATCTGAGGACCTCCTACTTCAGGAAAGGTAGTGCCAGGGAGCTAGATTAATAGTTGCAATGAGCCAAATCTAATCTGCAGACTAGATCTTACTTGCCCCAATTATTAAAATATATTTGACTTCAGAAGAAGCCACGTTTTGAAAGAACTGACCTGCAAAAGAACATCAGGTCTCAACTGAAAAAGTCCAGAATTAGTTAAAACATTAAGATTTTTCAGAGAAGAGAATAAGCTCAGCAAACTAACCCATTAGAAGTGCAAATCAGAGAATTATTACAAAGTGACTGTGAGCACTTTATCTTCTGTTGAGCAACTGGGAGAGAAAACAAATGGCAAAGCACTAGGCCAAGAAATGGAAAAAGCATTTGTTGAAAGAATTCTCTTAACTTTTCTTATAATTTGGGCAAATCTACATTAAAAGGCATGTTTGTCTACTGTCAGATATATGACTGCAGTTCAGAACAACAGAAGTTGCCCTGATCTTATATTCTCACATAGGCATCTTCAGGGGATTGAGCTAGACTGGTCAAACTTTGTAGAGCATTTCTTACATTCTTATGCAGGAGAAATCAAAGAAGTTCAGACTGAACAGGTCCCACCTTTTCACAAAGCTCATTGCCCTATTTTTTGCTCATTTGAAGATCATAGATTCAAAAGTATATGAAGGCTTTGAGTTACCAATTTCTACCATTGTCACTCTATCCAAATAAAAAAATACACATACCCTTGTCCTCACAGGCATTTTGCTGAGTGCACAGATAGCTCAACTAAGCTGGTGAAACTGGCCACTCTCTAATTATTTTGTGGGCACATTGTGCATCTTGTTGTCAATTTAAGTTATAGTATCACATTTGTTTTAAGCCAAATCTTAAAGTATTTTCTTAAACTGTTCTATTTTCTGCAAGTTCTATAAAATATCTAATTTCTTTGCCAAAGGATTATTGACCTGGTTATCACACACTGACCCTAAGCGCAGCAGAATTCATAGGCAGAGCATTTATGGATATACTGCGTTCCAGTTCCTTAGCACAGCAAGGTCTGCGATGACTTAAGGCAAAGCCACTCATTTAGTAAAAAGGAAGCATTAGATGGCTTGAGTAAGATCTAATCTCATCTAAGGAAACAAAATTTTGTGCCTAAAACAATAGACCCAAACGGCATCTGTATGATTTTGGAAGCACTTGTGTACATGAGTAAATGCAACTTTTCTATTTCAATTACCATATCAATCCTTACTGTCTAGGACTGTATTCCTTCATGAAAACGCAGGTAAAGTTACAAGAAAGCTTTTTGGTTTTAGCTACGCTGAGGCTCTGAAATAAAAATAACATGTCCTAAACTATTTACTGCTTGCTACTTCCTCCCACTCATAAAAAGTCTTCAAAATTTAAGACAGGACTTGAGCAGCCTTAAGTCACTTTACCTTCGTGCAAAGGAAATTCTTTTAAAATTCAGATTAGCCAAAGCAACAAGTCACAAGAATACCACATCAGTAAATGCTATGAAAGTTGGTTTATTAAAAGGCATAAAATATTTTTTCATATCTTTTTCAGATAGGTTCTAAATTATTTTTTCACTTAATGAGTGAAGAACTATTTCTTAATATAATTTGAAAGAAATTAAAACCTCCACCTTAGGTGTTAAAACAAGGTAGAAGGCTGAAAAGCTCCCAACCCAGTCAAACTGCACAAGGCATCGCTGTACCCCACCTGAAGACAATGCCTCTTCACAAGGACAGAAACCCTAGTGTAAAAGTAAAGTGAAAAATAGGTTCTGAATTTTATACAATAATATGCTTGCAGTAATAGTCCTTACTCTAAATTTTAAGAAGTTTTGACCATTCTGTATGCTCCTCTGCTTGGAGTACACATACACATTAACAACTCCCTGGAAAGTAGCAACTTTTAAGGTTAGAATCAGTAAGACTTCAATGGGATGAAACACAGAAAAACACCTATTCATGTCCAGTAGGAGGGTAAATACTAAACAAGCTTTAGCCCTTCCTGAAGAGCAGTATTAAAGGAGGCCATTCACACAGGGCTTCCCTCAGAACCACTCTATTTCAGGTTGAAGAACTCTAGGGGATAAATGAAGCATAAATGAAGGACCCAGGATTCGTGTGTATATTAGATAGATCAGAGAAAAAAACCCTCAGATTTAACTCATTTTCTATAGGTTTGTAGCTAAAACGTGCAATAAATTAATTTTACCTCCTCTCAGTAAAGACATGTAAGAAACGGAAAATGAATAAAAAGAGCAATAATTTAAATTGCAGCAAAACTGCACCTTGTTTAGACAATTCTATTATTAAAAAAAAGGCATAAAGCTTGCCATTTTTCAGGATGCTTACAAAGAGATTGAGTATGCTACATTTTAGTCTTTTTATTACCAGCTGGATTTCCTGAATATAAAAGTGATTTACTCCTTTTCCCAAAGTTTCCTCTACCTTTATTTTTCCCCCACATTTACCTACTCCATTTCAATATAAATGTGTATATATCACAGAAAGATTCAAAGTGTTTCAAGATCTAGAATGCTGGAATATTTTCCCCACAGGTGTTCATAAAACTGGATCCAGGTTTTGAACATTAATCTTTATTAGCTTAGAGAAAATTGAGCAAATTTATTTTTGTCTGTCAATACTAAGTGTTATCCAAATAACACCACAGTTAATATATTTATTGTGTTCTCATATACAGAACAACATATTTAGGAGAATTCCAGTTGAAAGATTATTTGAAAACATGGTTATTTTCAATTGGAAAAGACTTTCAAAACCATAAAATTGGTTGAAAACTAAAAGAATACAACCACCTTTGCAACCTTTCTCATCTACTGCAAGCCAAATGCAATATCAAAATGAACATGTAATACAGAATATACATTTAGCTATACATGAATGATCAAAGGTCTACAGACAATGTCAATATTCCCACCATATAATTATGTTGATCAACTTTTTAAAAAAAAAAAAAGACAATAGCATATAACAGTTTAAGATTTTACAAACAAACTCAAAGTTGTAATGGTCAATAGTGAAGTTACAAGGGAAAAAAAAAATCCTGTAACAAGAACTTGGAAATAAAACTTTAAAAAGCTTTTACAAAAATCACTCTTCCATTTCCTGTAGGAACAGCATCACTCTTCTGCCAACTACAGCAGCTTCTATGCCCCATTTTGGCCACTTCTCCCACAAGCTTTCACAATTTTTCATTTGTCATTCCTGGTGGCTGGAACACCCACCTTCATTCTCTTGAAGTCCCATTCTAAGATCCACTTCTGCAACATTGCCTACAGAAAGAGTAGGCAACTAAAACACTCATTCACTGTGTAGACTATACAGTATAGCGTTCATGTAACTTTACCTTTCTTACTACACCATAATGATTTCTCTCCCTTAGTGTATCAAATCTAAAAGTGGAGATTTAATATCTAAGAATCACTTTGGAGAAATAGTGTCTACTGGTTTTTCACCTCTCAGTGTTCACAGAAAGAAAAAGTATGGTAAACATTGTAAACACTCCATTGTGCCTGTGCGTATCTGTGGCACATGCATATATGTAACGGACATAAAGAGAAAACACTGGCCTATTTAATCTTCTTTACACTTCACATTTTAATCCTTTGCCAGCTCACCTGAAATTTCTCAAAATAACTTATGAAACTGAATTGGAAAGCTGCATTTAAGCATTTTGTTTTGTTTTAAAAAGCTTTCTACTCTAAAACTATTTCCTTCTATCTTTGAAAATCTGGATCAAAATTCAACTAACAGTCTATAGGAAATGTTTATGTTTACACAGGTCAAGGTCTATCAAGACTGTGTTCACATTTGTATTAAACAACTATATTTCTGGACAATCATGGAGGCAGACACCTTTCTGAAAGTCTGAAGGAACTTATTTATATTTTTATTTTTTAAAAAAGCTATCATATATGTTGCTTACACATATTAAATGCAAGCCTATCATGAGATGGTATTATCGGCCTTCAGGTGACATGAACCTGAAGTCATGCTTTCAGTCTGCCAGTTATTTCTACATGGCACTCCATATAGAAGCAAAATACTGGCTAATTTATTTATTTCAATAATAAGCAGAGCTTCAGTAATGTCAATGCAGTTCTAACATACAATAATGCATTATTAATGGAAAAAATGTTTAAGAATAGTTGGGTTTGTAATTTTGTGTCATTACGAATGGGAAGTAGACTACTTGAGCAGACAAACAAGCTGCACAAGGCACTTTCAGAAGCGAAAAACGGTTGAAGATGTAAAATGCAAAACCACAACAAAACCACGGTAGACAACATGCAAACACAACATATAATCAATAATCCAATTTAAGTTACAAATTCAGTTCTTAAAGATGAAAAATAAAACCCTGACAAGCATATAGCTGAAGTTTACATGTATGAACTCACTAAAATTAAAGCACTTGCTGCTGAAAGCACTGTCCTTCACAACTTAAAAGCTAAATGAAGCCCTTTCTCACATATATTTGATGTACTTTAAATGATCTCGCTATTAAAAGGGGAAAAAATAAGCTTATTCAACTTACATCTTTTTCTGACCGATGTGGGAACATCGATGATTGGCTGTAGTACATGTTTTCATCATGGTAGTCACCATCAACCCCCTCTACAAACTTCTTCCTTGAAGCACCAAACATGCTGTTTGTCACCTAAATAAGAAAAATAATCATATACCATATAAGATTTGGTTTGCTACATACTTATAATAGTATATATTTTAAATATCTGTAAGGATTGTTTAAAAAAAACCCAACTGTTTCTCAACATTTGAAAATTCCTCTTCAAAAATATTTTTTGTATACTGCCAACATAATGGTTCTTCCAAGTGCAATTTCCATATGAAACTCATATTAGAAAGGATTGGGGCAGGGAGAGGCAACACGCCTCATTTTTTGGAGGAGTGTTCGTTTCTTGGTTGTTGTTTTTGAGTCTTATGACCTTTCACTCAGGTTTACTTAAAATTACAGGATGTCAGAGAACAAAACAGCAAATTTCTCATATTTTCATCTCGTCAGGTAAACAATTTCTATCTAAAAGAAGAAAATTAAGGAATGTTCTTTAGAGTTCAGCCACCTTGTGAGAAACAACATTAATAATAAAAGGAAAAAAAAAAAATCTGTAAAATCACTCCCATGTCTCATCACCACAACTTTGGAAAAGCAGCTTTCTACTCGACCCAGTGCACTCAGAGCCAATACTAAGTAAGAGAAGGTCGAGCTTAACCACACTTAACAACCTCATCACAGACTGGCAAAGTTACTGCAGACAGCTCATAAAAAACAACTAAATTTTATTTTGCCCTTACTCCCACAGGTACACACACACAGAGACAGAGCTGCTAAGTCAGGAACTGGAAACTGAAGAAACAGCAGCCACACAGCTGGTCACAGAACCTTAATTCATTAGAAAATTTAATCCCACAGCAAGGTCATACAAATTTGCTAAAGCATCTACTGCATGCAGTGCATATTTATACACCTGAGTCTCTTATTTATGTAAAAATACACACACCTCTGTTATGTTCCTAATCTATCTGGCTAGGAAACACTAACACAGCACAGTGGGGCCTAACCAAGTCCCGTTTTAACCGAACAGGTTAATGATCAAACCAGCAAAATGGCACATTCTGGTCAGCACTGAGCAACTCGCCCAGTTTCTTGTACCATACGGGGAGACTGGAGAGGCCGCAACCAACAGCATTGTAATCAACCCTGAGCTACTGCCCTGTATAACATACCTCCAAACGGATCTTTAACATCTTGAAAGGTAAGGAAGCTAAGTTATAGTTAGCTTATGAAATGCTCTGAGCCCTAAGATTCACTATCTTCACTACTGACAGCATTAGCTAAACTTAAAAAAACAATATTAAAAAAATAGGACAATTAAATTTTTTTTTTAAAGAGTCATTTCACACTACCTTAGGCTTATGCTTGAAATTGAAATTTCAAAACATTTATTCTGGTTGGCTGCAAGGAGAGCTACTTTCAGCTTGAAATCCTCTTATCCCTACTGTCACAAAAAATTACTCTGATATTCCTCACAGTATGGCTTATTCAAATTTCACCTTTACTGATGAAGGTTTCTAGGCAGTGTTTAATAACATGGATACTCCTATGCTACTAACAACTTAACCCCATGAATTCAAAGTCATAGGAGTTTTGAGTAAAAGTAAAGTCATCGCTTGGGATGCATTTAATACATCTATAATCACAGAATTGCCCTAAAACATTCAACTAACCAAAAGCCTTTTCCACTACTCCTACAAGAGGGTTTCAGATATTTAGACCACTGATGTCTCTGAACAAATTTATAATGTTACACACATGTGAAGGCACGTAAAGGTACTGCACACCTTCTTCAGAGAAACCTGTATTCTATATTTACAAAAATGTGCAAATGTAAGGTCCCAAACTGCTCCAATGCATTCAGCTGACTTTCACACTTGTAGTGAAGCTTTCATTACACTATAAGCATATCCCACTGTGCTAATCCCCTTACAATGCAATTATCACCTACCAGATGGGATGGAGCATTTAACAGGCTAAGGGGATTATCTTGTCCTTTGCTCTGCCCAAGTAAAGTGCGGAGAGACGAGCAGTTGCCTTTAACTGCTGTAAAAAGGATAGTGAAATGCTTTGGTGAAGCTATCCTGAGCAATGAGGAGAACCTGAGCATCTTAACAAACTACTGCTCTTGAGAAGGTGAAAGGTGGCTTCTCAAAAGTTGTGAAGAATTTTTTGGTGCTCCTTTAACAATACCTGGCATAAGAGAAGAGGCGTTTTTTGCCACATAACCTTCTCTTGTGGTACACCATCAGAATAACAAAATTTAACTGTGATAGAAAGCAAGTCACCAAAGCATATACCATACTGTACTAATGTAATACCTAACCCTGAGCTACAGGACAGGAACTATATAAGGCGGAAAAAAACAATTCTGTCTTTGACCCTGTAGCTTTTGATCTTATTTCCACAAAGGTTTACACATGGCTGGCTACACATGCACTGTAAAGATTTCTGAGTCAGTGGAGTAAGGTCAGAGCTTTCAGTCTTAAAATATATGCTTAAAGCTGCTGGAAGAAAGCTAGTATGTCCAAATATGAAGTCTATATGCTGAAAAGCTGAAAGATAGTTTAAACCCTCTCCACGAAATTTAAATTGTCTAAAAGATTATTTTTTTATATTGATAATCATGTGAGACAGTGGCCCAAAAACTAATCAAGACTATGCCCTGAAGACTGATGGAAGTGCAATGATATTAATATGGGAGTCTGACAAGAGTATGGATATTAAAAAAAGAAATGAAAAAACCTGTTAATAATTAGATAGATTAAATATTGATACTTCTATTGGCCATATTTCCACACAGTATCTGACAGGACTGTGCTGCAGAACTGTAGAGAGCAGAGCAGTGCATTGCAGGCTGCAGCTGCAGGGGAAGAGGGGAAGGCCAAAGGAGCCCTGCCTGCAACCCAGCTGCACCGCTGCACCTGACTGCTCCAAAGACCTTCAAAAACTTTTTGCAAAGAGTGACACTTCTTCACAGTAGCATATCTGTGAGTGATTCCGTGCCATTCGATGCTGCCAAGCGAAGCAGTCGCGTGCAGGGCTCAAGCTGTCCACGCTCCCGCAAAGGGAAGCGGTCGGTACAGGCACTGGAAGGGCATTCTGGCAGCTGCCTGCACCCCTAACAAGATTTCTCTTCACTAGAAAGAACTGCCACTTGTTCTAAGGGTGAACCACAGCACAGATCACAACAGAGAAATGTGGCATTGCAGTTCACGCTGCTATCCAGCCCTGTTACAAAACTAAACAGCACAATAGAACAAGGCAGCCGCTAAAGACCAGTAACTGAAAGGGCAGGAACTGGGATTAGAGACTGAAGCTGCAGCTGCCGTAGCCAGGCTGCTTGCTTCTTGCTTGTTCTTAGGCTAACACCAGCAGCCAATTTATCTACTTTATAGTATTACAGCAGGTTTATGCAATGACATTGTCATTGGTTGCCAAGTTAGCAGTAGGCATCTTCCTATCCACATTAACTTATTCCAGTATTCACTAACATATTCATTAGTCAGTCATGTTACAAGCATAGGCACATATATTGAAAACACACCGTTGCAGTACTATTTGTAAGGTGTGAGAATAACTGGGGCTGTGCCAAACACAGGCAGATTTGCAGATGGAACTTTGTTGCTTGTTTCTTAGGACAAGAAGCCACTAGGAAACCTCATACACAAAGACTGCAGCTCCTTTTTCATAGACTGACAGATCAGCGTCCCATCAGCTACAAAAGCATATACAGCAAAGTTCATGCAGCACTTACAAATACATTTTAAACCCTTTGGAAAGTAACAGTGACCTGGGGTTTTGTACCTTTACAGGATCTAGACTGATGAGGTGAAAGATAGAAATCAGCTCCTGTATTTAAGTCCCTCATTCATACATATATACCTATACACATACACACTTATGCCAACACAATCTCACAGAAGTGGTACTCCAGTTGCATGGCAATTTTATCAAGTAAAGGATTCGTAACTACTCAGCCTATTTTCATACCGATCCCTCTCCTAATCCTGTAACTACTTTTCCTGTTCTACTGTGGGAACTCGGTCCTCTGTTGCACAAGATACATTGGCAGTGTAACCATTCATTAAAAATGGTGCACTTCTGTCAATTCATCCTTCAGCATAATATTGCAAAAGTACCTACAATTCCCACTGGTAGACTCATTAACAAATATTATTAGAAAATATTTGTGGTAACAGAAGAAAGAAAGGGAAGGAGCTACATGGTAGGATGGAGTTCAGAGAACTAACCAGCCAGGCTGCCACAAACCATGCCCAAGTCTGATCAGGTGACCACAAGCACTTCTTCCAAAGCACAAGCACATCATGTCTAAAAATCAGATTTGCCCACAACTTCAGGTTAATGATAACCAAGCAAAATGCAGTCACAAACCTGACAAGATCTTTAAATTCTTGTGTGGAACATTCCCTAACAACCACCACTACAGGGCAACTAAAAGCACCATACAAATGTTAAGAACTTGAAGCACGTAATAAGCGGTTTGCTGCACTCATTGACCTTTATCCTTCAGCTGAATACATGACAGCCAACAATACTTATTTAAAAAAAAAAAACAACACTCCCAAAATAACTCCAAAAAACAGATTTCAAGAAAACCCCTTTTCATTGCAAGAAACACTGCAGTATAGCGTACTTCAGCACACAAAAACTTTTTTGTTAGCAATAACTGAAAATGCATTATTGACACAGAATTTGTAAGGAAAAACTATTAAAAATGTTGTCATCTTAAGCTGCTAAAAGATCTTCTCTATAATCACTTATAAAGCGATGCTATGATTGTATATTAAATTAGTTTAACAGCCTGAAGCAAATTATAGTATTAAAATATTAAAACTAATTATGTTTCTGTTTTGCAATATTTACTATAGGTAGTGCCCAAGGAGAGCTCACTCATGACATTAACATAGCCAACTCTAAACTAAGAGGATACTATAAAACGTCCCTGGAAAATGAGTATTTTTAATTTTGCATAGAGCAGAAAAATTGATTGTTGCATTACAACTGATTAAACTCATCCTCTTTATGAGTGCTGAAAACAATATACAGTAATACAAG